ATTCTGCATTAGAAACATATACAAACTTATATTCCTGTGTGTGTGTGTGTGTGTGTGTGTGTGTGTGTTTCGTTTTTTGGTACCTCAAGTCTATGTCTTTTGAACAGTTTTCTTGACCCTTGAGCTAATTAACTTAATTCCTCACACTTTGTTTGGGACTAGTGCTATAACAAATAGTCTATTTCAAATAACTTTAAATAAAAAATGATTTGTTGGTTCCAACCAGATTTTCTTGAGTATATAATTTAATTATTTCATTTTGGACTGTTAGTCAAAATGAACAAGACAGATCGATAAACAGACAGTAAAAATAATCTGTAGTTGCAGCCCTGTTGTGACACTATGCCTTTCAGCTTTCACCCTGCTAGTGTCCCTGAGCAAAAACTTCTACTCCCTGTCATGTGCTGAGGGAAGTTGTGTAGTAGTTCTTGCAGTGTCATGACAAAGGCCACCAGTTGTACCACCAAATTGTATCCATTTGTCATAATTTTGTAGTGACATATGGTCATAAAGTATTGCACCGAAAAGAATCAAGTTCTGCTGATCCATGTGGGCATATGGTCCAGCATAACCTAAACTGGTCATCACAGTTTCCTGTTACCTACTTTATGGGGGGTGCAGGCACTGAACATCTGGCTGTGCAGATGGATGAAAAGCATACAGGACAAAGAAAACTCATTATAGCCCATTTTCCATCCATTAGTTCATCATCAATTGTGTGCTATGGACCCATATGCTTGGCCAAAAAGAGTGATAAATTGTGACTTAAATTGAGAGAGAGTTCATATCTCCCCTGCTGTTTCATGGCGTGTCATCCAGCTACAAGCAGAGTTCTGTGTGTGTGTGTGTGTGTTGTGTGTGTGGTGTTCTGTGTGTGTGTCTGTGTGTGGTCTGTTGTGTGTTTGTGTGTGTGTGTGTGTCCCATCTCCATGACCATGTTAGCCTGCCTCTGGGAGAGAAAGCTGTTTCACACAGAGAGGTTTTACATAACCCGTTTCAACCAATTAAGAGTCCAGTTCACAGTGATTCAGAGGTGCTTAACCTCAGGTTTCTTTGCTGTTTTGGGGATGTGGGTCATGGCCTGATGTCGTTTTCAATATGTATTAATTTTAACATAGAAAAAGAGAATTTCTAGTAATAACAGGAATGGAAAAAGACCATAAAAAAGTGCTGAAGAAAACTCCCATTCAGTAATGAAGCGGTTTTCCATTAGCTGCAAACACAAAATACCTTCTTTACGCTGTGTGTTTCAGTTCTTTCAATCATGGATATGCTCATGCTGTTGCTGCTAACGATAAAATAGCTCTTAAGGTTAAGAGTCCTAAGGTTAAAGGTGTCCTTTCATAGATGAGGTCAGCAGATTTTCTGGTTCCCAGGCTAGTCCTCTGAAGTATTCTGTATCTTTATATATTACTATATCTATTTCTTACTTAAACTTTATTGAGCAATGCTGTAATTCTCATCCATATGTCATCTTATAGAAAGACATTGTTATGAGGTAGCATTACTTGCCCAGAGCCCTTGATGTGAAGACAGTAATAGCAGTTTGTGGTGTTGAAAGTAGTTTCCTAATGGTTTTCCTGTTGTCAGCTTTACACAGACACACACATATATATACACACAGAGCCTCAGATTAAGGTCGTGTGAAGCCTAGCGATTTAGGGCAAGAGTAGCGAGGAGCTTGGTGTTTCTTTTTTTTCCTTCAATACAGACCTTGAGTACAGCCAATCCAGCTACTAAGCCCCATCAGTCAGTGTGATGTGTGGTACACTGTTGTATTGTATAGTAGATGTTTTTATTATTAAAGAAAAGGAAAAAAGGCTGGTTTTAGGCTTAAAGCAATAGTTACCTAATCACAGTAACATGACTTTGCTCTCACACAGTGCCATGTCCATTCAGGCAGATAATTTTAAGTGCATTTGTGCAGTGGTGAGAGTGATTCAGTCTTGACATTTCAGCTAGCTGAAATCAGCGGCAATGCTGAAAGAGGAAGTACTGTACCCCCCCCACACACACACACACACACACATATAGACTATTCTTCTGCAAAATCTATACATTCAAACAACTGGTACTTCTTAAAAACTCAATTCAATGTAGTGCAATCTGAAAGTATTTCTGTGCATTTAATTTGAAGTTGAACAGCAAATGTGCTGACTTTCAGCTTTGATTTGGGGATATTTGCAGCCATGCAGCCACATTTAATGAATCAATGTTTTAATCGTTTGCTGTTCTCATTTACAAGGGTAAAAATTAAATGTCTATGAGTCATTTTAAATCTAGTGTGCTGTAATACAACAAAAACTATGGAAAACACTGTCTTCACACAGAATTCACTGTATGTTCAAGACTACTATTACATATTATTATGTTTTCGTCTCAGGAGTCTGCTCAAATGCAGAGTAGCTGCAACCAGATCTCCCCCTCTTAAATTATTTCCTCAGCATGGATAAATTATGTTTGTTTGATGAAATATTCAGTGATCCACACTCTGTAACCATTTGGGTGCGCTGGCAATAGGAGTATTACAATGCAGAACACTGTTTGTGAACTATTTTTAACATCAACATGCTGTAATGTTTTTTTGCCTCATTGCTGTGCTGCTTTAGGTCCTGCTGAGCCCTGCGAGAGCTAATAAAACTGTCTACAACTCAGCATGCCTTGCTAAACCTCAGGATGGAGAAATTTCTGCAGAGCCACATGAGACTGCTCACTGTCTGTATCTCCTAAATGTTCCTTGACATGTAATTCCCCTCACCTTGCCACCTCGGGGCTCTGTTAGTCTCAGAGGTCACTTCAAACTTCAACCTTCCCAACAACTTTTACCAGTCGGCCAAAAAGGGTATTTGATTGAGATTTTTTTTTTTTTTTTAAATTCACCATTTCTTTTTCATCTCTTTCCTGTTTTTTCTTTCTTTTTCTGTCCCTGAGGGAAATGTACTGTTGACTAAGCCAGTCAGCATCTGTTTTGGCTCACCTCCATTAGTTTCCTGATTGACTACCGGTACCGGTAGCACATCCCCCCCGGATTTCTCCACCTCGCCCTCCTCTTAATCTCCCATCCATCGCTCCAAATCAAGGCTCAGGTCGCTGTGCCCATGGCCTGCGGGCATCACTCATTATACTGTGAAGTTTCAATTGCTGCCTGACCCCTTACATCCAATTTCATGGCTGCTTGTGGTGGGCCAGTGCCCCTGCTGCTCTGCTCTGAAGCTCTTTAAATGAACCAACCTTTGGCTCAAGGCTGCCACTCATCTCAGCAAGACGACGCAAGGGAGACGAATTTGGTTCAAATGAATGTCAAGCCTTGTTATTCTACCTCTTGGTTAATATGGTTTAGGGACTCAAGAGCCCTGGCGTTCCCTCTTTCCTCTCATTCTTATTTCAAACACACCCTCACACAAATAGTGGGATTGAAACGCTTCAGTGCACTGCTAATAAAGAAAATAAACCACCTCTGGCTTTGGAAAATGAACAATCTCAACTTAATCCAGTTGGGAGAGTGTTTGCTGGTCACAATTTGACTCCAAGGGATATTATTTGTTTGAAGTTGACAAGGAGCTAAATCTTCAATAACACACAGTTTGTTGGTGAACTGTATCTCATTCTCAGCGGTTGTTTCTATGAAATAACCTATAAACACACCACCTTTCTGCAGTGTCTGTGATGCAGAATCAGAAAATCACTCCAATAAATGGTCTGTCATTTCTCATACTCTGTACTCCTTATCTTCTGGATTCAATTTAATATGAATCTAGCCTGATTTAATCTTTGAATCTAAAGAATCTCAGAATGATCGTGTATGATCATCAGAAACATTTGTCAAACTTTTGAGCATTTCCGCAGCAGGTATTTGACTAGATGACATTTTCTAGCAAAGTGATGTTTACTTGCAGTAGCTGTGTGTGTGGGCCGCTTGTCCCTGTTTTTTTGCATTAGTCTTGGTGTTCAGGTCCAGGCTAGGGGCCACATTCCTTCAGGCCCAATTACATATTTATAAATTGAAGGCCACCATATGGCATGAGTCGCTCACTGGAGGAGAAAAGTAAAAAGTAAATCGCTGGCCAACTGGCTGTTCTTTTATGGATGGATGTCGGTATATGAGGATATGAGTCATGGTCAGGCTTGTTGGGATTAGATTGATTGATAACATAACAATGGTGGTGTTATACATTATTATTATTATTATTACTATTATTATTAATAATAATAA